TTCATTTGTGGTTCGAGTAATTCAGAAATTTTGTGCGAGTCATTTACATATTCCGCAGCCTGTGAATAATTCAATTCATAAACAAAGTAGTGGTTTACAACTTGGCAATTGTCCAAAGATCTAGCTGCAGTGAAAATTAATATGCAATATGAGATGATTCATAAATTCAGTTCAGTTTTGATGCATGCTTGCAGAGAAATTAAAGGCTTTCTGTGACGACAGTAAAGATGACGCATAAAATAATGGCAAAAGCAGGAAGTGCCAATTTTTTTTTCGAGGTGCATGACCGACAATGAAACCGTTACATTGCCTCCATATGTATTGAAAATCAGTCTGCAGTTCATCATTCCCTTGGCATCAATCCAAATTTCCGCGGACTTTCCCTTCTGTGAATAGAGGATGTTTTTGGCGGTAATGTTCTATTAGTCTTGTTCTTCTTTCCTTTTCAGTGATATTGTTTGTTTTGCTTTTTTTTTCCCGCTGTGAAGGCTTGGCATGTGATGATATGTTGTGATTTCATTTTCATTGATGGAGTTCAGTAATATTTTGTAAACATGTTGAGTTTGTATGTATCACTTTCTCTTGCTGTTTACACAATAAAGGTCATTCAGACTTCAGAGTACAATTTGATATTGTACTATTACATGTACATTGAAAATACAGCATGCGAGTTTTCCTCGGAACCGCCGATTTCCTCGTTTGTTTTTACTTCTCATGAATGCAATTATAAATCGAAAAATACTGCACAAAGTTTTTTTGTGGTTTAGACTTTTCTCATTTTTTCCCTAAATTCCCAGTTGCATGCCTAAAATTCAACTTGACATTATTCTCTTCGACATTTTAAGAAAAAAATACTTGGATTTTTTTCCTGGTATTCCTAATAATGGATATTGAGAGAATGTTCGTGCAGATTTTAAAAAGTCAGACAGTTCCGTAAACCCAACCCTCCCAATATCCGTAAGTGGCCAGCTCAAGAAACTCGAAGGGCAACACACTTGATGCTCCTTAACAATACACCCTCTGCTCCTTAAAAGATCCATCTACGCTCCTTGGAAGATCCCTCTACGCTTGCCATTGTAAAGGTGACCAAACTAAAACCACCAACAGTTTTTTAAAAAATTGCTAAAAAAAAATCACTGAGTAATATAAGAGATAATGAGATTCTAGGATGTGTTCTTAAGTATGTTCCTAAGCAGGAGGCTTTACAAAAATCATTTCTCTCCACCCAGCTGCAGATGAGCACAGGTGGTTTATAGCCCTGTCGGTGGTGTAACTTAGTAGCTTCAAGAGGACCAGCTAATTTGTTTAGTGTATTCAGCTTCAGATTGTGTCTAAACTTTGCACTAAGCTGAATTTCGGTACTTCAGGGATTTTAGTGGTTTTAGCGGGATTTTAGAAGACAAGCCGGTCAGGTAGAAAGAGACCTTGGTTCTCCAGTCTGTCACTTTGCTGTGTGGGTCACAGCCCTGTACTTTGGCACCCTTCAACAGTTAAACATGCTTCATTGATCGCTTAAAGAGTTTCACTTCAACCAGTTAATGCAGACGTTGTATCCATACGGGTTTCCCTCCCTGTTTCACCGCCTGTTGATGTTGATTTGAAAGTAAAATTGATTTTCTGCAGTCTGGCTCGGGATTTGGCGGTCCACAGGCACAATTCACCTGCCCAGGCCAGGCCTCCTAAATCAACACCTGGCCTTTTGTCCGGAGCCATTGTTGGTGCCTTACCTGGCAGGAGGGTTTATATGCAATCCATTGTTAGAAGTCGGCAAATATAAACTGCAGGGCCGTTAGTGGGCTGTGTTGTTTGCACAGTTATGCTATAGTCCACTGCGTCAGCGCAGCATGCACACGTACAATCCAACATGTCTGAATTGGGTCCATGGTGTGAAAACTTCACGTTGATCTGTTTCAGAAGTTTGAAACTTTTTCAAGAGGATTTTGCCAGTAAGTTTTAAAGTCCATTTTTCTTTTTGTGGCAGACCATTTTGGGGGCATGTCTGATGGAATGTGACTGACATGGTGTTACTTTTCTTACGACTGTCAAACTTTCAAGCAAAACCTGAAAGTATGTTTTCCCTGTACAAGACTTAATTTGTTGAAATCTTGACTGAGTTCATTGAGGTGTATGATCCTTACATTGTGTGTTGAACTGCAAGAGTGGAGTTTGGTGCTTGCGGTAATCTTCATGTACTTAAAGGCTCAGCACCCAAATTAGGGTCCTACTAAACTGCGTCAACAAGCGCCAACAAGCGTCAACGGTCGTCAACAAGCATCAACAAATTTTGTATATATGCTTTTGAACATTAAACGTAGCTTTATATGGTAGAAAAAGCAATAAAGAACATCTTCTGCATATCAATTAAAGTTAAAATTATTTTAAAACTTGTTTTTTTTTAACACGAAATGTACGACAAATTTGTCGATTAGTGTTGGCCGCCATCTTGTTTGGATGGCGCTGTACACTTCACACATGCGTAGTATGGCTCTGTACACTTCACGCATGCGTAGTACGGCTAGCTTCACGTAAACAAAATGGCGGCCAACACTTATCGACAAATTCGTCGTACATTTCACGTAAAAAAACCCCAAGTTTTAAAATAATTTTAACTTTAATTGATATGCAGAAGATGTTCTTTATTGCTTTTTCTACCAAATAAAGCTTGTTGACGCAGTTTAGTAGGACCGCCCAAATTATGTATGTTAAGTCTGTCCTGAGCAATATGTACCGTCACGCTGGCATTACTCTCCAGTTTCCTTGGCTTGAAACAACTGAGAATATTTGTTCACTCTGGATGGGAATATAACACAATAGAATGGATACAGTTAGATTAGAAGTTGGAAGAATACATGATTTTTTTTCCTCCTGATCACACAATTATAAAAATTATTTTAAAATACTGTTAAATGATATATAAACAATTATACTGAAAGCTCAGACACAATTACATCACAAAAGACAGAGTAAGGAAAAGATAAATAAAAAAACCCAGACAACCCAACAAACAAACAAACACACACAAAACATATACCAGTGTCCTGAACATTAAAACATAATTAAAAATACTCTCAATGCATTAAAACTCCAGATGGTAAAAATACAGTTATGCCTGTCCATCATATAATGTAGGTTTTTCCCAAACTAATGCTTGAATCCCGTTTATACTCCTAGGCGGAGGTAAGAAATTAGGGTCAAGTAGCTTGCCCAAGGACACAACATATGGCCAGCATCAGGCTTTGAACCCTCTTACATGTGATCATGAATCATATAACCTAACCACCCTCCTCCCACAAAATCTGCCACTGTGCCTTAAACCAATAATTGGCACATTAGTTTTTCTTCACTTTTTAAGGGCTCTCCAGCCCCATAACCTGGCTTGGATCCACCTTCCTCAATCCTGCAAATCCTCGAAAACATCCTGGTCGATTAGGAAGGATCAAGAGGGATCAGTTTTTAATGAATGTCTTGTTGCGCACGGTTGGCCAAGTTCCAGCTGTCCGGGCCTTGCACAGCATGTCTTGTCTGGCATTTCCAGAATTATTTGGCTGTCGTTCAAAGTATTCCAAACCAAACGAAACAAGACAATGTTTGAGAAAAGGAAAGCACATAAAGATAACATATAAAATGGGTAGTTTGGTTCACTTTGTGTCTTTATGCAAAACTGAAAATATACAAACATCTTAACCCCTCCCTCTCTGGCTGGCAAATTCAGGTACACCATCACAGCAGTCAAAATCAATCAAGTGTCTTTTTTTAACAGTTGAGAATTCCCTTGTTAGTTTTATATAGCCATGCTTTGACTGGAGGTGACTGATATGCTGGCTGCATCTACCAGTTACCCTCTTTTGTCTGTTGATGAATTTGACTAGTCACAGTGTTTACATGAGAGTGATCTGACTGTTTTTACTGGTCTGTATACAAATGTATGGCAGAAGAAATTTGTGACTGTCTGTGACTGATCAAACATTAGGAGGGTCTGTTTAACTTTTAGTTTAGCTTATTGCTTTTTAACTCTCAGATAATTAGTTCAAAATCTAATTTCTTTGTGAAATAAATTTGAAAAGCTTTTTTTTAATTGATCAAGCATCAAATGCCAAAAAGGACCGTAATTATCAGCATATATGCCACTGCATAAACTTTTGATGCTCAAGTCCAACAAAAATAAAAACCTTTAAAAATTGATCTTTTGTGGAATTTTCATTCCTTTTTTAAATTTTTTTTATTAAAAACAAATTTTCTTGCCTGCTAATTTTTTTTTAAATGATGGTAAATCAATTTGGAATTTAGAGATCTTTTCCATAGAGTTTCATGGCTGCAATTATCGTCAGGAATTACATTGAGAAGTAATTACAGCATTTAATGGATGAGTGCACCCTAAATTAAAATAAAAATTGGGTCATCTTTGTTGGAATAATTAAAGTAATGGTGCAGCTGCTTGGTAATTATATTGGACAATCCTACACAATACCATGTTTTCTGTTTTTTTAATTGAATATTGAGAAGTAATTCCGGTATTTAATGGAGGAATGCACCCTGCTTGATACTACATTAAAATAAAAATTGGGTCATCTTTGTTGGAATAATTAAAGTAATGGCGCAGCTGCTTGGTAATTATATTGGAAAATCCCACACAATACCATGTTTTCTGTTTTCTAATTGAATATCAGAGATCAAAAGTTATCAAATGTCAATCAGCTTTTCCTTTTTGTGAATTGGCTTCGACACACTACAGTGATCATAATTTAATACTTGTCATGGTTTTTCTTTAATATAAACTGACCATAAATTGCAGTGTGTGGAGCTGTTTCTTGATATCAGTTGAATATGCGGTGTAGCCTTCTTAATTCCTAAAATTGACAAAGTTTTAAGTGATTGCCAACATGTCCACTTCAGCTAATACATGTAGTTGGTATATTTTTTATGTCTCAATCTGAGGTGTACAAACTGCTTCATGTCGGTATTTTATTTTCTCCTGTCTATTTTCCTTCCGTCTACTCCAGACTAGCAAACAGTCGCTAAGCAACCATGACAGAAGTACGGGAACGTGAGGGCAAGAAGGGAGAGTACACAGTGGAGCCCGTGGAGAATGGAGGGGCGGAACCCCTAGGGAAGAAGGTGCCGCTCGACGGCGACGGTGTGTCGGTGGGAGATGGGAAGGGAGTCAAGCTGAAGAGACAGGTGGGCAAAATTCGCTCTTTTCACACTTCCGCCATGGGCATGCAGAGCCTCAATCTGGCAACTTTACACAATGAATATAGCCGGTCCAGTGGTTCCCGTGTCGGGGTTCAGATCACTGAACCGGCTATTTTCATTGTGTAAAGTTCCCAGTTTATTACCCTGCTATTCTATTGTACATCATCCACATCACATTTTAGCCAACAACAAGGGTCGCAACCTAAGTACATGGATTCCTGATTTTTTTTTTTTTATGTAAAACTTGAAGATCTAAGCCTCACGAGTCAAATATCTTCATAATCGCCATGCAAAGCCTTGAACGCTAATTTAATGTTTTGAGAGAGTACACTCTTTCTTCTGGAATCGCATCCTTGGTATTCGCAATGAAATGTTTACTTCATGGAAAACACTGGATGGACCGATATAAATCTTTCTCTAAGCCAAAGAAATCATGCTGCAATTTTAGCCCTGCAAAGAAAAAAAAATCATATATTTAAAAAAAAAAAAAAAGTGTCAGTACAAACAAAAACACAAACTTAACCCTCCTGCAGACAGTCAAAAAATCAATCCGCTTCCCCTGCTATGCCTTTTACACCAGCTAGTCACTAACAATCAGATCATATTTCAAGCAAGCACTGTGACTAGTCAAATTCAGTCAACAGACAAAAACAGGCAAGTGGTAGGCACAACTGGCTTATCAATCACCTACAGTCAAAGCATAGCTCTGTCAAGCTACATAAACAGTCACAGCCAGTCAATCCTGCTTAATGTGGGCTGGGAGCTCTTAACTGTTGAAAACAGTCACTTGATTGATTTTGACTGCAAGAACAACTTGGCGCAGAATGAATGCTTGCATAGGAGGGTTCATAAACTGTCCAAAGGGTAAAATTGGGTGGGTATTTTTTAGTGTTTATTGGAAAATATGTCAGCTCATTGGTCAAGAACAGCTGAATTTCTGCTTATTTGTGGCCTGAAATTAAACCGTTTTTTATTATTTGTTTTTAAATTTCAGGTTGGCCTGATCAGCGGCATTGCATTGATCGTTGGCACCATGATAGGGTCTGGCATCTTTGTCTCACCGAAGGGAGTCCTGACACAGACAGACAGTGTAGGAATGAGTCTGGTCGTGTGGTTACTGTGCGGCGTCCTCGCCACTATGGGTAAGCTGCGTACATTTGGGTGTCAATGGGTACATCTAGGTACCGGTACCTTTATTTGGAGTGATTGATGGGTTCAGTCGGGATACATTAGATAAGGTTTGGAGGAACTCGGTTAAGAATTTCTGAACCCCATAAGGTTGAGTGAGTCTGGTTGTGTGGTTGCTGTCAGCGTGCCAACCGCTGTTGGTAAGAGAAGTAAATGGGTACATTTTGTGGGTGTCAATGGGTACATCTAGGTACCTTTGGGTGTTTTTTTTTGATGGGTACAGTCAGGATTAATTATATAAGGGTTGAAGGAACTTGGTTAGGAATTTCTGAACTCCGATTAAGGTTGAGTGAGTCCGGTAGTGTGGTTACTGTCAGCGTACTAGCCAATGTTGGTAAGAGAAGTAAACGGGTACATTTTGTGGGTGTCTATGGGTATACATGTAACTGGGTACTTTTGGGAGGATTAGGTACGTAGTTGGTGTCAATGGGTGCAGCTGGGTACTTTTTGGTATTAAAGTAATTGAGTCCATTTTTTTAATTTACAGTCAACTTCTTATCCATCCACCCCTTTTAAAGTGCGATTATTCACACAATAAATTCTAACTTGGGTCACACGAACCCCCCCAAAAATTGCCATTTTCTTGTTAGGAATACCAACTGTTGTGTGTTTGTTAACAGTTTTCTTATAATACACTGTGAAAATGGCCTCTCCACAGTAAACTCTTGGTGGAACACTACATTCTAAATTGCTCCTATTGGGATTTTATGGGTACACCTCAGAGTTTATTTGGTTGGATGAAAGATGTGAGAATGTCTTGATTATTTACTATCCTAACCAAATTGTACATGCGGTACTGTAGAGAGAAAATTCTAAGCAGGCAGGTTTGCATATGCACCGATTCCTATTCAAACAGGGGTTTTTCTTGCCATGCATACGTGACCCGTCTTGGATTGTTGAGATCCCTCGTACGGAAAGCAGCACTTCCCAAGGGTATTAAGTCGATGCGGGAGGGACGGACGGAGGCGCTTGGAATTAGGGTGCGGAAATGGAGTCAAGTACTCAACAGTGACATTTGAAAAGTTGGACTTCGTTGGGAATTAAAATTGAATAGATTTGGGGCTGTGTTATTTGCTGACATCAACATGTCAACAAATGTTTATATTGCGGGGAATATACATTTCTGGCAAAAGGCAAAGAAAACAATGTACATGTATGCTGAAATTGTTTCTTCTGTGTTTGAGTTTTATTTTGTCTAAATTGTTTTCGTTTATGATAATGTTTACTTTGTAGGATCATTATTAGTCTATTATTTTTAGTATCATGTTACTTCAGAAAACAAGTGTTTTTTGTAATTTTTTTATGTTGATGTTCAGTTTACTGACAATTTTGTTTTGCTTTTTCAGGATTTAACGGAGAACTTTGTAATATTAAATATGTTTGTTTGTTTGTTTGTTTAACACTTTTCTTCTTTCAAAAGGTGCGCTCTGTTACGCAGAGCTGGGAACGATTATCACCAAATCAGGCGCGGAATACGCGTACCTGAAGTACGCGTTTGGAGACGTGATCGCTTTCCTATTTGCTTGGGTCTCGATTGCCGTCATAAAGACGTCGTCAGTGGCAATCATTGCTATTTCATTCGGCACGTATGTCGTGTCGGCATTTTTTGAGGGGGAATGCAGTCAGCCAGATGTTTTAATCAAAGTTCTGGCCGCTGTCGCCATTAGTGAGTATATGGAAAAGCCTTGTGATTGGTCATCTGTCACCGCCATCTGATTGGTCGAAAAAAACGACAACTCATCATGTCCATACAGCTCTAAAACATCGCTTAGTTTTCTTCTCTATTCTTTAGCAGTTCAAATCAGTGTGAAAACTATGCATGCCATACCTGAGGCAATTAAAACATGAAGCGTACGATAAGTCTAACTGAAGGGATGGTATCATCTGAAGGTTTGGTTTGCCTGATTTTTGTTGAATTTGAGCTACAGGGCTTTGGGTTGATTCTAAGAGCCCAAGGCTTTGGGCATTCCTTGCGTTGTGATCTGTGATTTCCTACGCTTGAAGCGGTGACAGTGAACGTCATCTTGAGATACGGCTTTGCTTCATCTTGTAACTTCTTGTAGTATTTTCTTGAGTTTCTCCTCAAAGCTTTGGATGATGAGATGCAGTGCCTTAAGCTTGGTGCCTTGCTTCCGGTGAAAGAAACAATCTGTTACTCATTTGGCATATTTATCAAGATTCCTGATGTGCCTGGAGTGATCTGTACAGGAAGGACCTGGTTTCAACTGGTTTCAACTGGTTTATAACTGATTTCAACTTGTTACAACTGTTTTAACCTGGTTTCAACTGGTTTCTACTGGTTTATAACTGATTTCAACTTGTTACAACTGTTTTAACCTGGTTTCAACTGGTTTATAACTGATTTCAACTGGTTACAACTGTTTTAACTGGATTTTACTGTTGCATGTTATGGTTATGATATTGTTGATAAGTCTCTAGTCCTGTGGTATCACTGCTGTAAAAGTGAATAAAAACTGCAGATGTGGCTACATGTTTGAAGGAAATTGTCAAAGGAAGTTTAATCTATCTTGGTCTGTGTAGAGGAACTTGTGAAGAAACCAGGAACGGCTAGCAGCTAGATTATGTTGCTGAACTGGTTTAATCAAGTGCAATCCGGTTCAATCCAGCGTGATCTTGTGTAGACCAGTTCAAGACACTGGCAGACTTGATACCTCTCATCAACAATCCAAAACGGAAGTTTTCTATTATATTTGGGTTTTCGTGTTTTGTATGTCAAGGTGCTCTGTGTTACGCTGAGCTCGGCTGCCTCATCCCCAAATCCGGAGGGGAGTATTACTATCTCAAGGACACCTTTGGGAACCCTGTAGGGTTCATGTTGGCATGGGTGACAATACTCATGATCAAGACGTCTTCCCTGTCCATCATAGCCCTGAGTTTTGCCAGTTACGTCCTTGCCCCGTTCTTCACCGGGGAGTGCGCCACGCCGGTCGTTATTCAAAAAGTCCTGGCCGCCAGCTGTATCAGTGAGTACCGGTGAAGGCTGTGATTGGTCGATCCGTTCGTCAGCTTACTTCTCATTGGTTCCTCGTGGAATGACATCATCGTGGTCTGACATCATCGTGGTCCAATTGTGGTTCAGGGTATTTTGGTTCCATTGTCTACAAATTAATCATGATTGGTGGCATTTGAAGTCGACCTGGTAACTGCGACAGATCGATTTGGGTTTCACCATACACGGACATTATCTATACATGCATGTTAATTCATCAACATTTAGTGAGATTTTTCTTTGCAGGTCGACATTCATGGTTACATTCACTAAACATTCTTTATCATTATTTGGGACATACCCCAAAGTAGTTCCCTGAGCAAAAAGTTGAAATCCGTGAGTGGTCTGTGCCTTGTACCATCCAAGTCGAAACAGAATTACAAAAATAAGAAGAACGTTGATGTAAATCTTAAAACAGTTTGAGGTTTTCTGTTTTCAAAGGTTGGCTCAAAAAAAAAACTTCTGGAAAATTATACCAAAACAGCTTAAAAAGATTTATTTAAGTCAACAGCAATTAACAACTTTTTTTGGGCAGAGATCAGTTTAAGAATACTAGTTAAATTCATACAAATTACTGATTGGTTTACTTATCGGAAATTGAATCTGAAAAACAAAAAGTTTATAGGAAGTTTCCATTTGATAAGTCCTCTTGCCAAAGAGTAAGCTTAGGGCTGTGTAATAAGGCACTGCTCACTTAACGATTGATCAACTTTTGGCTCATCGATAGTTGTATCGCCATGATCACATTCATTAATCATCAATCATTTTATCGTCATTGTCACCCTCCCATTTCACCAGGCGCTCTGTGCTACGCCGAGCTGGGCACCGTCATCCCCAAATCGGGGGCGGAGTACGCCTACCTCTTTTACCTGGGTCCGATACCGGCCTATCTCTTTGCGTGGACGTCCACAATCGTCATCAAACCCTCCAGCCTATCCATCATTGCGCTCAGCTTTGGGGCCTACGTGGCTGAGCCGTTTTTCAGCAGCGAGTGCGGCCCGCCGCCAATGGCTATCAAAATGTTTGCAGCATTGGCCATCTGTAAGTAGCCCCAGGTCAACAAAGAATCCTGACGATGAGCCCCTCCCCCCCCCCCCCCCCCCCAATTTCACCGAAATCCAATGCCGTTAGCCTTTTTTGAGATATGGCGGACGCAATAGGATGATGCGATTTGGAGTAGGTCAAACATTTTTGTGTTTATCGAAATTTATCTAAAATCAAAATAGTGCCGTTCTGTTGTGTCCGCCATGTTGGATTTTGGCAGATTAGGAAGGTCCTAAGATTGTTTTTTTAAATCCTAAAGTCTTTGTTTTGAAAATTCCATTTTTGTCTGTCCCTCTTTACGAAGGAAAAATGCACTGTAATAAACTGAAATTATAAAATCATTCTTCAAAGTACTACAAATCATCTCCAGTAAATATGTCATTTGGTTGGAAAATATCCTTTAATTATTTCCATGAACAAAATGAAATTTAGAATCCGAGAATTTAACTAAAGTATACTCACAGCCACAAGAGACTCTTCTCTTCTCTGGAAAATAAGGAATATGATATTTCTGTGTGCCTCTCACAAGCAGAAAATGTTGGAGAACCAAGATCTCCCCAAAATAGCAAAATCACAAAAAGTGGATGTCCATCCAAAATGTGTAAGGGCAATAAATTGCTTGCACAGCGATTGCCACATTGCTGTCAAGTCTTCTGCCACACCTAATCAAGACAAAGACCTACCAACGACACAACGCTCCCAGAAGTCCCGTTTACCAAAAAACATTCAAAGTTCCCATGACAACAGTACCTTTAACCTTTATAACAATAATAACAATAATGTGTATTTATAAAGCACACGTATCCACCAGTATTGGTGCTCGAGGCGCTACATCATTATTACTGTGCTCATTGGGCCAATAAAACATTCCAAATAAAAATATCAGCTCCCTGGGGAGTACACAGAACGATGCTGCCATTTCGCCGCAAAGCAGCTTAAATCAACCACAACCACCATCTCTGCCCTCACAGGTACCCATTTACTCCTGGGTGGGAGAAGCAATTAGTGACAAAGTGCCTTGCCCAAGGGCACATGCACCATAGCCGCAGGCTGGACTCGAACCCACAACCTGCAGAATTACCCTCAGACCACGAATTCAATGCTCCAGACCATGAGGCTACGGCACTCCACAACTTTTCTTAAGACTATAACCATTCAACCTAGGACGAACAACAAATATGACTGTGACCAATGACGCAGACAGTCCTAGACATCTACAACTTAACTACTTAAAAAAAAATTACTTCAAATTGATTTGCAGAAAGAAAAAAAGACTTTATGACAAACACATGGACTCAGAAATATTTGTATGCATTTGTTAACTACAAATATTTAAAGATAGTGTTTTTTTGTGATAAATATCTTTTGTGCAACCCAAGCTGCGAATTGAACAATTCATTCCGCTCTGCACTTTTTCTCTTTTCCTTTTTTCAAATTGTTGCTATTTTTCATGACCATTGTCATACCAGAAATCATTTGAGATAGTTACACTCCATGGATAATTATTGGTTTCACATTCATGCTCATTCATTCGTTTAAACACTATTGAATGGAACTTTATTTTGAATTTTAATCAAATTTCAAAGGCAGCTTTTGCTTCAGACTAAATAAGTTGGGAAAAAAATTTGCGAAAGTATAAATGTGTTGTTCACTAAATTTGAAAATGTCCACATTTTGTTTCATTATTTCTCAGAAAAAAAATATCGTTTATTACTTCTGTGAAGCTTCAAAATAATCTTTAACTTTTCAAAACCAATCTCACAGCTGAAAACAACATTATATGGAATCTTCCATTTTTCAATAGGACACACTGTCATCTGTTTTAATCACATTGCCCTGTCTGAAGATTTCTTACCCTTGCTGGTGTGTTGTTTTGTAGTACTGATCGTGTTCATCAACTGTGCTAGCGTGAAATGGGCCACAGCAGTGCAGAACTTCTTCACCGCTGCCAAACTTCTAGCGTTGGTCATTATCATCATTGTCGGCTTTGTCAAGCTAATCCAAGGTCAGTATATTTCGAGAACATTTTCATGCATTTTTTCCATTATACTCGAGTATAAGTACGAGTACTTTTCACAACTACGGAGCAAATTCCAGTGTCATTTTTGTTCAAGGGCTTTTTGCTGTGAAACTAGCTGGAAACTTTACCAAAGAGCTGAGCAATGGTCCTACTAGTGTATTTAGCTCTTAACAAAAAACCTTGCCAGTGACCATAGTCATTGGAAGAAATTTGTGGAACAACTATAATAATGACAAGCAAACTATTTCTAAGGCTAAATTTGTGTGGCTCTTCTCCTTTTTTGGACTTTCAGGAGATGTGAGATACCTGACACCCTCCACGTCCTTTCAAGGGTCTTCCACCAATGTCTTTGCCTACGGCATCGCATTCTACCAGGGACTGTGGGCCTACGACGGATGGTGAGTGGCCAAGTTATCTATTGATGTCATTTGGGGGAATCACCAGACAAATACCATAGTATAACACTGACGTTAAGATCTGGAACCAATTTTTCATGGCTTACTGAAAGTTTTAAAAAATCCCCATTTTAGTTTAAATTTAGAGTCGCCCATCACAAGGCCGCATTGAAGGGCCACTCAAAGGGAGGGCTACAAAACGAAGGGATAGAAAAGGAAATCAATCTAAGAAAGAAAATTAGTACTTCCAAGTACAAAGATAAGCATTAAGACTAACCCCTTGAGCAGTTCTACTAGAAAGTAGAAAGTAATCCTGAATCCGCCCAAATCCTCCAATTTTGTCATGCAAGAAACATTGTCCTGAGTCCATCACAATCCACGAGTGAGTCCATCAGAATCCACCAGTGTAGTACATATACCTCGTTCACACCAAACATACATGTATAGCCAAGACGTTAAACTGTTGACATCCTGAATCCATCAAATTCCCCCAACTGCTCAATATGGAGGTTTCCTGAATCTATCAAAATCCTGCAGTACCGCTAGGCTTACTGTCCTGAATCCATCAAAATCCCCCAACCTTTTCAATATGGAGGTATCCTGAATCCGTAGAAATCCTCCAAAACAGGGGTGTGGATTTTGATGGATATCGGGTACGTTAGGGTTAATGTTATGCTTGAACTGGGACAGATCAAAATCAACTGGAAAACAAGACCAAATACCGCACCAACATTCAGTGTATTTCTTAAGTTATTGAGGGAAATTGGCGAATGCGCTTGTGTATGTACAGTAATTATGGATTATTTACCGACAGGCTGAGCACAGAATCGCTGCACTTGCACTGTAAGCACAGAATTGGGACCCAAAATTCAGAATTCCGTGGTTAACAGAGCCGGGGGGGGGGGGGGGGGGGGGGGGATAGGGCCGAAGGGCGGATCCAGAACCAAATTATCTTGGGGCCAAGAGGGCTCGAGTATTTTTTTTTTCCTCAAAAAGGTGAAGGAGATTAAGTATATAGTATCGTGCGCTATTTCCACATTGTAATATTAAAACTAAAAAGTTTGTGTTGTGGATGACTTGGGAGGAAGATATGCAACATTTTAATTTATGTCCTGAAAATTAAAAAAAAAAACAATGAATATTTAATTTGTTGGGGGGGGGGGGATGGCCCCCTTCTCCCCCCTTCCTCCCCCACCCCACGGGATCAGCCAATGATAGAGCCATGAAACTGTACCTAGGATATTAGTAGAAATTATGTTTTCAGGATGGAAGTTGTCCAAATAAGGTGTTAGTTAGAAGTCTGACTTTGTGTGATAATTTTCAAGTTTCTTGTGTTTTGCAGGAACCAGCTGAACTATATCACAGAGGAATTGGTGAAGCCACACCGGTGAGTAACACTGACTCAAGGTTGAGTCATGAATAAACTCGTTACTCAACCGTGTGGCCAAGTGACTTGGGTCATTGATACGTAAAAGATTTGTTCTTTTGCTGGAAACCCCCTTCCCCCCCCCCCCCCTCCAAAAAAAAAAGACACGAGTAGTAGCCCAGTATTAATGAGAATTTCTTCTTCTTATTATCTATTTTGCTGGTAATGGATCAAGGATTTCTCAAAAGTGCCCTAGGCACTGTAGCTCGCAAGCCTGAAGAAACTCATAAAGAGAAGACAATGAGAAGAAATTACAGTTTTAGAGGTGGGAGGAAAAGCCCAGAAGAATATTCTGGGGAAAACCCACGGAATCAGGTAGGGACTGAAAACCCAATCCACATGAAGCCAGGGCAAAAATCGAAACCCGGTGGAAGGCGAGATATTCGATCATCGACCGAATTCCGGAATAGCATTTTATTTTTGAAGCAAATAGTTCTTAAAATGTGAACGGTCTTTAGGAGATGATGACAACTGACAAACACCCACGATGTTATTTTAATCATATAAGTTGCATGCTATTGTTTTTGTTGAAAGCCACTTTCCCGGATGATTTCAGAGCTTGCCTGAGGAATATTAGCTCAAATTTCTTCATTACAATCGGTCAAATATCGGCCATTCCGCTACCTTTTCTTTATTTATATTATTTGAAAAAACTCTTCGTTAATTTTTGACAAGCAAATTCAGATCGGCGGCCAATAAGGTAGTCTGAGTATCACCCGTTATCCACGGAGCGCAGTCTCCTGTATAACGTCTGATATATCTAAGCATGCAGATTTATGCGATCCCACGCCTCAGCCTATCAGAGTTGACTTTACTAAATCGTGACGTCAACTCATTTCATTCCCAAATCAGGAGTAACTGTTTGATTGGCCAATTTGAATGCAGTGTTTTGTAATACAACTGGGCATACAGATCGATAAAACCTAGACAAGTTTGTGCGTATCGTGTAACATAAGAGCACGTGACCACAGCCTTTGTTGCTGTGTCTATCTAGGTTGTTTTTTTTATCCAGGTCTAAGAAGCGACAACAGGTGAATGACCGAAGACCTGATATAGAAAGCGTCCGCTGATTGGTCAAAATCTAAAGGTCAAGAGGCGGTTGTCTTGCAAAATTAATAAGCGAATCTGCTCACAGATTATTCTATTACATAGACTACCAATGAGGCTGGCACATGCTTAACTTCATCAGTGCATGTTGAAATCAAATATTCGAATATGCAATCAATACTAACTCATTTGAAGATGCACAGCCTTAATTTCCACAGACTTTGGTGTCTGACCCTTCTGTTGGAGGGCTTAAGGAAGGATTTCCAAGGCTGCTTTCTCGTAATTTTATTAAAAAAAAAAAAAAATTAGTTGTTAGCAAATCCATGCGAATTGACCTCTTGATTTTTATGTTTTCTAGCAATTTGCCTTTGGCCATCATCATCGGTATCCCGCTGGTAACCGTACTGTATCTGCTAGTCAACATTGCCTACTTCACCGCCATGTCGCCCGATGAGTTACTGCAGTCTGGTGCCGTGGCAGTGGTATGACATCTTGGTCTTGTTCCCCGTCTCTGTCCCTGTCCCGTCTCAGTCTGGGCTGTGTATATTTGTTAACATCCGTTAACCTGGCTCATCACAGTGAATAAAGTTAGCTGCCAACTCAGAGAAAAAAAAATGGACAAAACAGTAAAGTGCTGTTTAGACTCGGATTCTGATGTAAAGGGATCTTGTCAAGAACACTTTACTCTAGTTGCAATCTGGCTTTAGGTGAATTCACCAAATGAAAGACAAAATTTAGCTGTTTTATCATTTTTCCCCCCATCTTTTTGTGTTGTCGGTGTTCACTGTGCGCAGTTGCGATTGTGATCTAGGAACAGACCCCATTGTGCGTGTACGTGTGTGAACGAGAAAAGGTACTGCCAAACTGCCCTCGCTTTAGTAACTGGCGCATTGTTGACACTAGAGGGCCTGTACATACACAAAGCCATTGTCTCTCTAATCTGTTTGTTTGTCTATCTGTTTGTCTGTCTCTCTGTTTGTTTGTATGTTGGGGGTGTCTATTTGTTTGTTTGTCGGGTTGGTTGGTTGTTTGCCTCTCTGTATGTTGGCAGTGATATTCTCTAAACGGATGTATTGTTTATACTTACATTTCATTTTTACAGCTAACAACTTGAAGATTTTTTGTTTGGGGGGAGGGTTCTATATTATAGGACCCTGTTTCTTATTTTATGTGGAGGCTGATGTTCATTGATCCAGAATCATGCATGTAGCTTGAAAACCACCACAGTTTTAACAGTCCAAAATGGGGCTTTCTAATGAGGAAATAATTTGGTGATGAAAAAAAAAGGACAAGGTGGATTAATTTCAAGTTTCTGATGGTGCTGCTTAAACATTTTCAAGTTATTTTCCACGAAATATAAAACATCGGTTACAAGGAAGTTCAGTGACTCAGTTACTCCAACCGAATAATGAATACATTAAATGAATTTCTTTGAAAAAGCCTCTGTGAATTAACCATCACATGAAGAATTGCTTTTCATATATGAGCTTGATTTTATTTTATAAACAGCACTCATGAAACCATACCGAACCATAACTTTGTATTTTGAAAGCACAATACACTCACATTTATTTGAAACCTGAATGTGACATTACACTCTAAAACACCAGAACTTTCATATGCACAGCGTGTGTTTTTCTGGAATGCTTGTTCAGAAAGATCATCCAACACTGAAATGTATCCCTTCTTCTCTATATCTTGTTCTATTTATGAGTATCATATGACTTTTGATATATTTTCTTTGTAATGTCTAACTTTTGTCATAACTTGAACATTAATATTTCTGTCAGGTAGTTCTCGATTGACTGGCATAACAAGTCATTTACCCAGAAACCCCTTCCCCCAAAAAAAGAAAGAAGAAGAAAATGTTATAATAATGTTTCATATTTGTTTTGAAAGGTCTTCAGGTAGTTTGACCAAAAAGTCAAGTTGGAAAGAGTCTGGCAAAATGTCAGGAAGAGTTTCGCAAAAATGGCATATCTCCAAAACAAAAACAACAATACTTTGTAAACATTTTCAAGTTCGCAAATTTGCGTGAAGGATTTTGTCATGTTTCCCCCCCCCCACCCCCCGAAAATGGTAACCCTCGAGACACCCACTGGAAAAAATTAAAAGAGAAAAAAAGAAAAGAAAGTTTACTCGCCATAAGAAATGCATGCTTGTTAATATTACTTGTTATGCCAGTTGCCATGGATTTCTTGTCTTATTTTCCCTCTTTTCCTTTTCTGTTAACCTTCACCCCTCTTGCACGAATGTGGAAATCCGATCGGGTCATGGACCTTTTGACCTAAGACCTTTGCCAACCGTACTCTGGGCGTCATGGCGTGGCTAATGCCTGTGGCTGTAGCGTTCTCAACGTTCGGTGCCGCCAACGGCACGTGTTTCACAGCGGGAAGGTACCACGTCTACACTAGATCGACCAGATGACACCAACATCAAAGAAACACTTTCAAACAAATTAATTTCACTAAAGGAGCCCTGAACATGTTTTCTTTATTCTCTGTTAATCTGAAAATACATCTGCCTGGGATATGAACTGGAAGATTTGAAACAAATGTTTTCAATCACGCAGTAGTGATTGTTGGAAATAAATTTTTTTCAGAAGTAAATTACTTGCCTCCAAAGTTTCAACAGTATGTCTTCGAAAAATTGTTATATTTTATTATTTTTTTACACAATTTACTTATAAATTTCAAGTTGTTTACATGTTTAAGGGCTTCCTTGAATGAATAGAATTTGGGCAGTGTTTCTTTGAAGTCAATTTCATTAGGTTTCTCGCAGTTTGACCCAGCACGGCATGTTGTGTCTTGCATGCACCCGCCACTGTTTGCATTGTAACCGTACCAGTTCTGTCCACTTCTACCCGGTGCCGTCCAGTCCAGTTCTGTCTGGTTCTGTCCAGTTTTGTCCAGTTCACTGATTGTAATAACATGCAGGTTCCTGGGTTCATCGGTTCACTAATTTGCTGCATTTGGCTCCAACCATTTTGCTTTGAACTGCATTGAATAACTTTCCTCTACCCTTCCCGTGACCAAGTTGTGTTGAGTGCAGGCATGTTTTTACCACCCACAAATTAAAACCATAACAAAATTTGCACCATTTTTAGGAAGCTGTACTATGCAAAAAGCCTAAACGTCAAAAATATTTGTGATATCTGAATCTTTTCTAAAGCAGTTACTCAAGAAATTGTTATTTTTAAACAACTTTTCGCTTTTTTTTGGGTCGAGAACCAGAACAAAATCTTGGATTTTAAGGAAGTTAAAAAGGGAGAGTCTTAAAATGAAACATTGAAGTGATATTCTTCAAAAAATGAAGGGAAAAAGATTTGGAAGGATTCAATGCAGACGCTCAAAGTGGTTGCTCCCAGCTTCAGTCGTCACGTAACAGCAAGGAGCAGTGCTTCTGTCCACTGTTGTACCTCAGTATATTATGTTGCGTGAATATTGTCACCTTTGTCATTGTCATACCCTGTCATTGTCACACAATGTCTTGCCTTGTAGACCCTTGCCCAGCGTACGCTAGGCCCAATGGCATGGATCATTCCGCTTTTTGTTTGCTGTTCCACATTTGGTGCCGCCAACGGGTCACTCTTCACTTCAGGAAGGTAATTGTAAACCCAGCTACTCCCCCCCCCCCCATCCCCGAACCAAAGTGCCATTCCTCATCCCTGACACCATGTCATCTTTTCATTATGTCACTCTGACAAATTCTTTACTCAAATCAATTTCCACCCATACACCTTTTTCCCTATGGCTCCGTTCTCGCCAGTCGTATCCAGTCCTCACCCCTGTAAAGTCCCAGCCCACCTTAAACCCTATCTCTGAACAAAACAATCACCCAAACCCAAGCCCAATCCATAGTCACACTTTAACCCGAATGCCCAATCCCATACCCAGTCCCCTCACAGTGTGAGTATACAAGTGATAACTTGTCCAGATTCATCTATACCCTTGCCTCTTTCCCACCAGTGCCTTAAAAATCAGGCATGCAACTTTTCCTCGGATCCATCCGTCTGTCCGTCCGTCCGGACAGCTTTAATTCCGAATGACAACTTGAGTTAGAAATGTTGTTTGAGATTGTAACTTCAGAAGGGGGTTGCCCTTGGGAGTAGGGAAGTTGGGATTGGTTTGGGGATTAAAAGGATTAAGTTCAAGGTCACCATGGTGAGTTGAAAGGTTAATGGTTTCCAGAAGATAACTTGAGTTAGAAATGAGATTTTGGTGTCTCACTTTGGTAGGGGGTTGCCCTTTGTTACAGGCAAAATGGGATTGGTTTTGGGGTCAAAAGGTCAAGGTCAACGTGGTGAGTTAAAGGTTAATGGTTTCCGGATGATAACTTGACTTTGTTATTTTTTTTACTTCTCACAAATGCGATTACAAATTGAAAAATTCTGTACACAGTCTAGTGTGGTTTGGAATTTCCTCGCTAAATTCCCAGTTGCATTCCCGGAAACTGTAGCTTTAGATCCCTTGGACGTTTGAGAGAGAAAAAACAAGAACAATTGTATGAAACAGATTCTTGGGGAAAAGGCAACAATTTTTGGATATATAAAAACAAAACGATTCTGATAAAGAGGGCATTTTAAGCTAAATACCAGACACTGGAAAAGGTTACTCACACACACAAAATTGAAAAATAAAACTACTGTAGCACTGTTCTTGCCTTCAGCATATCAAAAAGCTTACTCCCTCTAATTTCTTAACCATCCTTCCAATACTCCCTCCCCTTCCTTTCCAACGTCATTTCATGTTGTGGTCCCTGCTGATGTTGTGCTGTCCCCTCAATAAATGTATGTGTCCCAGCCCCTGCAGGTCTGTATGCAGTGCTTTATATGCCGTGTTCCCCTCCACAAGAGTTATAGTCAAGTCCATCACAAGCTATCACAAGTCAATCACAAGTCATCACAAGTCATCACAGTCAATCACAAGTCCCAAGTCGAGTCCCAAGCTACAGGTCCCTCTCAAATGATGTCACTTCCTACAGATTGTCACGTGCATCCGCATTTTGGGCGTCAAATTTTTTTTGTGACGCCCATCAGCTGCGCCATGTTTCGAAGAAATTTCTAGCAACATGCACAGGTGTTGAGAACATTTTGCACACTGCGCGCACATGTACCTGAAGCTGATTGCGTTGAACACACAGTTATAATTTTCTTGCGAAGATGGCTGTCTATGAGAGGGGTCTATTCAAATGAGCTTTGACAAAGGCATTCCTTTGTTTTTGTTCATCCACTGTTACTTGTGTCTGGACTTGTGATTTTATCTGTGATTTACTTGTGATGGACTTACGATCGACTTGTTATGACCATGTACTGGTCTCGACAACACTACCCCTATGGTGCTTAACGACTATAAAAATGAGCATTGTAAATAGCAAATTAAGGCTTAACAAGTAATTAGATTTGTAAAGCATGAGTAGATTACGAATTACATTTAGATGTTTTACTTGTGCAGCAGTTTTACAAATCCAGGCTAGTTTAAAAGGATTTATTAGTTTGACAGGATTTTAGTTTATTCGTATTTTATCTGAATTTTCACATTATTTTTTTTTCACTCATAATATAAGTCAAATTAGTAGAATGCATTGAAATAACATCGGCTTAGATATGTTCTGAATTTTAGCGTTGTTACCCAATCTCTTTAAAAATCACCCTATTTCTTCACAAAAGTTTGAAGTCCTCAATTACATTTTCTCTCTTCTTTTAATAGGAGCCCCAGATTTGCACTGCAGAATTGTGCATGTGTGGTAATATTTCCCAGTAAAATTGTGTCATTTGTCGGTAATGCAGTTGTTGTTTGTCTTGGATAGTTGCTAGGATATAAGATTAGTCTTAATTCTAAGCCTTTTTTTTCTTGCATCAATTATTTACACGCCCGCAAATGCAGATGTTGTTTAATTGTGAATGATTCCAAAATGTATTCAATTCTGTTACTCATTACGCCTCTCTAGAGACGTCCCTCGGACTTGTATTTGATTCTTGACTTCCACAGTACCTGTACATTGCGCCCTCTGTTGATGGAATATATTTTAAGCGCGAAAGTTTACATAATGCATGCATTACAAAACACCAGATAGTAACGTCGTGGACCAAGGCTAATATAAGATATGGAGTCCCAAAGTCATTGTAAAATATGATGATTACTTCTTCTAAATTGGGCTGCAAACATTGACATCACTTCCGTCAGAAATTCCTGATTTATATAAGAATGTTTACACTCAGCTGTCTTTTTAATTGATTGATAACCGTGTTCTTATGATACGCAAGATTATTTGTCTTGGGTTTGATGAATTGGACATCTTTTAATCTGGTTAGAATAAATTGGATTGCCTGCTTTTTCTTGTTGTTTTTGGAGACACCGACTGGGACTGCGGTTTTTCTTGGTACCTAATTGAAGAGGACAAAAATGCTGCATTGGTCAATCAATTTCGTGAAGAGAAAACAAAGAAATTCCAATTTGCCTTTCCTGGAGTAACAAATGCTGTGTGTACACAGTGCTTTGAGTGACTGCTTGAAAGAATATTGCAAGCCAGCTCAAGTAGGACTGGAACCGGCCTCCATCTGTTTACTACTCAGTGATGTGCACCCGAGTCTGGTCTCAAGTCCACATGCATCTTAGGTTGTTCATTGTTGTTTCCATGCAAATACTGGATTTTAATTGGCTAGTCAGGTAGTTAATTAGACATCAGGGTGTGGTTAAGACATCTGCATGTGTGGGTTCGAATCCCACCTTAGTATATTTTTGAATTTTTTTCTCACTTGCTCTTGGAATGCAATGTGTGTTTAATTTATCACCCCTCCACACAAAAAAAGAAGAAAAAATGATTTTAATATAAAATTAAGCCGGCCGCACACCTTTCAGAGTTTACCGGTTTACCAGATCATCGGGCCATCGGATGTACAGATCGGAGAGGGGTGCATTGAAAAATCGGACCGATCTGAATGCACACCTGGTGACCAGATGAAATCAAATAAGTTTGATTTTTTTGCATCCGATTTCACTGGATCTGATGTCATCGGAAAGGAGTGCTGGCAGCACTCGGATTTCACCGGACGGGATATTTGTGGTAATAAATCAGATTCACAAAGGAAGGCACATGATTCAAAATTGCTGGCTGCCATTTTGTCATCATGTGACTGGTCATCATGTGACTGGTCAGCTTGTGCCGGATTATAGAACACAATCGGACATGTGTGCGAGAAATGTGGTTGTCTCCACATGAATGGTGGAAAAAAAAAACGTACCAGTTAGGCCCCCCAAAAAGGCTCTGATTTTTGGTATGGAGCTTGCCCCAAAAGTGGTGCGGCGACACAGGGTTTTTTTCCCCCCTCCTTTTTTTCTTCAAATGTCGATCGCCTTAAAACTCTCAAAAATATCCATCAGAGTGGAGCTTGAGGTGACCTCAGTAAGGCCATAAGGCTTAAGAATTCTGCACCCACTTACGATCTCGATTGACATGAACATTCTTCGGGAAATTTGGATAGTCAGGATAGTTTGGATTTTGGCCTTATCTGGCGATCAGGTGAAGTGTGCAGCGGGTTTTAAAAGCTAGTACAAAAAATGTTTTGATCAATAAAACTCTTAAAAATCCCACAATATAAAAGCATAAAGATTGCAAACACTTGAAAACTTTAAAAAGCATTGTAATAATATATAAGCAGGAAATTTTAACAAACTCCAAGGCTAAACAGTAACATATCAAATGCTGCTTTTAATCCGAACGGACAAAATCCTGAAATGTCACCAACCGTGTGAACATTGAACTGCAAAGAAAACATACAGATTTTCCCCTCTGCGTTAAGTGGTCTATACTAAGAGGATGATGCCGACGGGAAGTTATTCTACATGACTACCCAGATTGGAAAGATTCAACTCCTGCCTAGCTAAATGCCACGTCGATCAGATATCTTTCTCATGGATTCACACATGGATTTATACGCCTCTTAGGCCAAAAAAAATAAGTCTCCGGTTTCTGGTATGGAGCTTGTCCAAAAAGTGGTGCGGCGACGCGGCTTTTTTTTTTTTTTTACCTGACTTTTTTGCTTCAAATGTCGGCTGATGACTGCAAATGGTGCCCGACTAAACTTAGTGCAAATATGTGGGAGTCCAGAGAGGCCACATAAAGCTTATTCTCGATCATAACCCCATCTAAAAACACGTTAAAATTGTGCAGTAGCAGGATTCCAGTCAAACCAGTGAGTTTGGCGGTTTGAGACATCATCTTTCATTGAAAAAAAAACTTATTCATTTTGCTGACGCGCATGGCTACGGCGACGCGCGCGCATACCAGAAACCGGAGTCTTTTTTTTTTTGGCCTTAAGGTGGTTTGCGTTCAGAAGCATATTGATCATGTCTATTTTTTATAAGGCTTGGTACATGGAAGTGTTTATAATGCAGTGGTAAGAAGGAAAGGGCAGGGGCGTTGGATGTCGGCTTCAGTTGAGAATACTTTAGTCCTGGAGCGTCATTAATTGTTAAAAAGCCTCCCTTATGGAATTGGTGACTTTAAAAGCCATTTGGATCAGCGCACTTAATAGAAATCGATCAGGAAGGGGTGATGTAAAGTTGAACACTTTGAAAATCATGAAACTTAATAAGACTGCTGCAAACTGCTTACTGACTGGATTGACCTCAAATATACACATTAAAAAAATTAATGTGGCCTGACGTTGCGAACTTAACAAGGTCTTCTTCAGAGGCTAAGTGATGGGAATACAAGGAAAATCAGCTGGGTACTTCAATTAAAAATATGATTGAATTTTGGAATTTCAAGTCTTAGAGAGTCATTAATTTGTTAAAAAAAACTCCCATATTGGATTGGTGACCTTGAAAACCATTGCATAAATAGGAGAAAGTTTAACACTTTGAAAGTCAATTAATATATTTAATTTATATTATTTTTTCCGTTTAATTAAGCGTGAAAACCCACATAGTAGTTTGAGCTATTGCTGTTAAAATTAGAATTTGCCTTCATCAAGTTGGAAAGAATGTAAATAGGCAGTTAGTAATATAATAATACTTAAGGTCGTTGTAATAATTAAGGCCTTTCAAAACAGTTTTTAGGCTGTTAGTCCTAATTAGGATATATTATCAAAACTGCTGCATGAGAATGTGTTCTGTATTGGCCCTGAATTTGTATGATTTCTCGGATCTTTAGGTTGACGTTCGTAGCTGCCCGTGAGGGTCACATGGTGGAGATTCTCTCCATGGTCCATGTCAAGAGGTATACCCCCTTCCCTGCGCTGGTTTTCCAGGTAATAAAAAAAGTTATATTTCCTGTGTCATATTTTCTTCAGTTTTTCAAAAAAAAAAATTGCGTAGCACTTCTATCACATTTGCCAGAGGGCTGTAACCACTTTGACATTTTGATCTTTTCTTTTCCAGTCGTTTATCGCCATCTTGATGTTGCTGCCTGGTGACTTTGAGTCCCTGGTCAATTACTTCAGCTTTGCTGCGTGGTTGTTTTACGGCGGTACGGTCGCAGCACTTCTCGTCCTGAGGTACAAGCATCCAGAGTGGCATCGCCCTATCAAGGTCAGTCCCTGAAACATTGCAGTGGTGTTGTAGCGACAATCGCAAGTCATCACAAGTCATCACAAGTCAACACAAGTCCATCGCAAGTCCATCACAAGTTTATCAAGTGTTCACAATGCCACACAAGTCCATTCCAAGTCCTCACAAGTCCATCACAAGTCCATCAAAAAATCATCATAAGAGATCACAAGTGATCACAAGTCCATCACAAGTGATTATAAAAGTCCTCAGAAATCATCACAAGTCCATCATAAGTCCATCACAAGTTTATCAAGTGTTCACACGTACACACAAGCCATCACAAGTACATCACAAGTCATCACAAGTCATCACAAGTTATCAGAAGTCATCACAAGTCCATCATAAGTCTTTAGACTTAATACAAGTCATCACAAGTCATCACAAGTCATCAAAAATCATCTCAAGTCACCACAAGTCATCACAAGTTCATCACAAGTTATCAGAAGTCATCACAAGTCCATCATAAGTCTTAAGACTTAATACAAGTCATCACAAGTCATCACAAGTCATCACAAGTCATCACAAGTCCATCACAAGTCAGCACAAGTCATCACAAGTCCATCACAAGTCAGCACAAGTCCATCACGAGTCCTTACACTTAATACAAGTCAGCACAAGTCATCACAAGTCCATCGCAAGTCATCAAAAATCATCTCAAGTCATCTCAAGTCCATCACAAGCCCATCACAAGTCATCACAAGCCATCACAAGTCCATCACAAGTCATCTTGTCGCAAGTCAAGTCACAAGCCATTCCAATAAAATCTAGAATAAAACATTCTTTGGTTATTGTTCATCCACTGTTATTGTAATCAGACTTGTGAATTGACTAGTGACCTATTTTTGATCGGACTTGTGATGGACTTACCTCCAACACTAATGCAGTGTACGATTACTCACATTGGCTCTCCCTACGAACCCGGCCAAAATGATTGGGACACTTCCCGAGTCTGCCATGGTCACCCACTCCCCCGCTCCCCTGGTCAATGTTGTTCTCTCCAGCTGATGGAGCACACACCGCGCAATGAGAGACAACATTGAACGGGGGTTTGGGGCCCAGCGAGATTTGGCCAGGATTGTAGATTCCGTGCCAGTCATGAGTCACAAATTTCAAAAGACAAACTGTGACCTGATTTGTTGTTTGACTTGAGATTGGCTAAACATTGACTTGTGACCGGGAAGATTACAATTTTTCAAATTTTTTCTTTTTTGCCCTCAGGTCCCTATTCTGATTCCCATCATTGTTCTGATCGCGTCCGTTTACCTCGTCATCGCGCCGATCATTGATGAGCCAGCTCTGGAGTACCTGTTCGCGTTCCTCTTCATCTTGGCCGGTCTCATCTTCTACGTTCCGTTCGTCCACTACAAATACGTACCGCCATTCATGAGTAAGCTCCAATCATTTTACAAGATTTTTCAATAAACATAAAGTTAAGCAGAGAGATTGACTGGAGCAAAAATAACCGCAGCTGCTGCCAATCTCCTTGATTGTCTAATATTAATAAACGTGCACCCAGTCAGTTTTCCTTTCTTGTTTGCTTGATGAGTTTTTCCAGTCCACTGTTTCATTGGTGTCTGATTTTGATAATTATTTCAGTTGGAATGAGTCTCTAGTAAAATTGCTAATGTATTTTTTGTATTTATCGGAAACTGCACAGATAAGGACCATAAAACTTGTCTTACACAAATGAGTCACAAGTCTTTTCTAGATCTACTGCCCCAACCCCCACTCCCTCCCCACCCACCCCCTCCCCCACCCCCACGCCATCCCACCTCCCACTCCCAACCCCACCCCACCCCCACCTCCCACCCTCACAAACAACCCCCACCCCTACATCTAACCCCTACCCCCAACCTCCCACCCCCACCCCCATCCCCATCCCCATTCCCCACCCCATCTCCCATCCCCATCCCCACGCACAAAATATAAAATATAGAAATTCAAAAGTTGTTTTTAAGTAATCATTAATATTTTGGGGAAAAACCTGTTTTGAAAACTTATTCTTTTTGAAACCCCTCCCCTCTCCTCAGAGCACATCACCGTATTTTTTCAGCTGCTATTGGAGGTTGCACCGACCAGCTACTTTGAACCTGAAGAAGATGAAGATGCATAAACACGGCGACGTCACCGGCAAAACCCACTCCCTGTGCTTCTGGAGTCAAGCGCTTCGCAGTCTGGGGGCGCTGTTCGGCTGCGCACACGCGACCAGCAGCTGCTCCTTGGACTGGCTGAACGCGACGCATTTCAGAGTTGCGTACAGGATATATAATTAGTAGACGACTTGCATTATACTTGATATTTTATTGTAAATGAATGCATATCTCTCACAAAAGTTTATCATCACTTTAGCAATAACAGTAGAACATCACTTTGACGAATACTGGAGTAGCGAACATTCAGCTTATTGAACGGCCCCTTTTGCTGACACACTTTAGGTATGATTTTAATGAGTATTGGCGGTCAAAATAGCAATAATCAGTGGTTGTAACAAAATCAATCGTCGTAACAAAAATATCTTTTGTGGATCCCATTGTGTTCGTAATTGTGAAGTTCTAGTGTAATAACTTTAGTAATTAAAAATGTATGTAGTTACTTATTCGTTACCTTTCTCCATTTGCCAAATCATTTTTCGCAATCTGCCAGAGCAATAGTCCCTTTTGAAGGCGTAATTAAAGGGAAGATACAGCATTTGCAAACATCAAACAAAGAAATGATCAAATTATCATGAAATACCTTACTGAATTGTTAGGGGTCGACGGTCCAAAAGCATCCTGTAAAATTGTGGCTCCTGGTGTGCTGACATTTTCAAGAAAAACTGTATTTTTCCAACGCTTGTCGGCTAACCAGCGTTGAAAAAAAACTTTTTTTTCTTCAAAAACTGCTCCTAATTTCATATTTAGTTATTCTGCATTTTCTTTGCAATTGATTACACACCTGTGAAGGGGTACAAGCCTGTTAGAGTGATTCTTTGATCTTACAATTTCCCAAAGTCTTTACATTTCTCCATTTCATCTTGAGTGGGGTCAGGGAACCAGATTGGTTTTCTTGGTTTTTCCAGCATATACAAGCCCAAAACGTGAAACAAGTCAGTTTAACAATATTTGCTATAACATTCTAATCCTGCAAATCCATTTATTTCTGAAAATTGCAGCAAGAGCAAATGTTGTACATTGCCTTTAACAGTAGAGTGACCTTAAAATCGGCCAGTTGAGGAAGAAGAAAAAAACCTGAGCAAAGATAGTTTGAATATTAGAGCAGATGCCAAAGTTGGTTACTGAGTTGGTGGAACATTGGAGCTGTATTGCCACGGTCTTGGGTTCATATCCAGGAAGCTGTCGAATATTTGTCTCTAAGTTCAAATAAGTATATATGTGCGGACTATGCACCTACATTTAGTCTGTCTTATCTTAATAATTTCCACTGAGTTAAAGTTCTGTAGTTGAGAATTGAATTAAAAGTGTTTGTTCTCATTTATAGTAGAGAATTTGGCCAAACAAAAAATGTCCATCTTATGAAAAAAATCAGAACAAACCTCACCCTATAAAACAACTCTCATTCTAGATGTAGTTTATAAGCAGACCAAAGTAAACCACAAAGGCCAAGAGCACCAACAGTTTCAAGTACCATATGACTTGGAGCACTACAGCTCAATGCAGTTAACGACAATGCAATTAACGACCTATTTACTATAGGCCAAACTGAACACTTCATAACACCACAAAGCTATGATAAATTGTGTATGTACATATCCCAAGCAGTTTAGTAAGTCGATTTTCCTTGAACAAAATTTGCACTTTTTACCTTATTAGAGTGTCCAGTAAGGGATACATTTGTAATGTGTATTTAGTACAGGTCACATCTGAATTAATTGGCTACGGCCTATATTTACACACATGCCTATGGAAGCAGCTGAAGCCATAGCCCATAGACACGTATGTTCCTGACAGCCGTAGTAATCAGACATTGCCTTCCATAGAACTTTTATTCAAATTACAGTTGAATTCAAATTATATTTGAATTCAAATTACAGTTATCAATTTGGAATACTTCCAAGGGGAAAATATTATTTTTTTGTAATCCTTCAACAATGCAAACAAATAAGTGTTTATTGTAAAAAAAAAAATTGTTGACGATAATTTCTAGTTTTAGCTGTCCAAATTTAAAATAATCTTAATTGTTAATAAAATACCAAAAAACCTCTCTTGAGCATTGTACATACTTGACGATCTCAATGCTGAATGTAGACTTTTTATATATTTGTCTTCACAGAGTTTACTTATATTTTGTCCTTTTTAACCCACATTTCTAGCTAAAAGTTTCAAATGTCATGATGAAAGTCATTCTATCATTGTAAATTGTACATATATCAACGTTTGTCTTATGGTTCAGTATAGCAGGTTTAGTCAAACCGGTATACTGTTCTATAGAGACACCATTCTTTAATAGCGCCGTACAAAGTGCGCATTTGGTATCAATGTTATGTATCAGTGTTATGTACAAATGTTTACGTCGGTTTTAAAATGTTCTGGTTTTCAGAATGGATTTTCTGATTTTCTGGACTTGTTGAATGGGAGGATCCAGACCATAATATAGATTCTCATATGTGTATGTACATTTTTTTGTCATCTGAAAATTCAGATGGTTTTCCAGTGTAACCTTAAGAAATTCTGTTGCGCCTTCTGGCAAAAGTTTCTCCGAGAGATGTAAAGAAGACAGTGTTGTGGCTTTTTGTTACTAAGCAAGTAATGTCAATTTGTTTTTGCACTGTCAATTACGTGAGCGTAAGGTGTTACCTTGTGGAACCAGGTGTATATAAGTCTTAACAGCAAGGGGGAGGTGTCGACATGTGACAGGTCCCCTGTGTAGGGCTCTCGTCAAGTTAAAGCCAAGGTGATAAGTCGAGAAATTGTAAGCAGCATCGCTGATCTCCAGCGTGTTCTCAGTTCCAGACGACACCTGTCACAAGCTTGGAGCATAGAGCAGTGTGAGAAATCTTGCTGAAAGTCAAAATCTTGTTAGTTTTCTGATGTCATGTGAGACACTTCAAAGGCTTGCTTTAAAGTGCAAGACCATCTTTGTGGTGTGTGCTTTTGTTCTATAGAGATACCATGAGTAGACCTCTCGTGCATTCAGTTACTGAGTATAAATAACATAACACACCTCAAATATGGTTTCCGAATGCAAAGAGTCAAAATGGGTTGTGTACTTGTAGGATTTTGTGGTAATAGAGCCCAGGTTGTAAAAGGCACACAACTCTAAATTTAAAAACGTTCAGATCATTTTTGATTTGTATGGTGAGGTTAAAAAAAATTCTTTTTTTGTCAGCTTGTGACGTTTCCGAGAGAAAGAATATTCTTTAAATTTTGAGCAGTTTCTTTTTTTTTCTATATAAATCAAACTCCATATATTTTTGTCTTTGTATTTTTCTTGAGTTTGTGTATATTTTCAGGAGGTACTCACTGTAGTGTTGCATCAGTGACTGTTCTTTTATTGGTTATTATATTTTGATTTACATTATCAATTTTTAAAAAATTATATGTTGAAAAAGAAATTAACATGATCAAAATGAAATTAATGATTTGCAACTGAAATTGACGTCTGTACATATGTAATTGATCAGCACGACTTCTATCCATGTGCATGAAAATAATGCTAGTTTGCTGTGAAACTTTACCAAAAGAGTAGGAGTGTTTATAATGTGTTAGATATCTGCTAGAAGTTATCAAGATTGTTATATTCTGAAGAAATTCTGTTTGGCAGAAGGGACTATTTGTAAAAATTGGTTTGCGCTTTACTAATAACCAGTGTTTACTGGATGGCCATAATGAAATTTACAATAAAACCAATGCACCTGAATTTTTGAGAAAAACAAAATAATTTTGTGGAGAAAAATAACCATCTCTGTATTCAAAAAGGTATATTTTGAACACTTAAAAAATAGATCGAGTGTATATTCGTTGTATTTTACAATTATAGGATTGATAAATTTATAATTTCTATTCCCCCCCCCCCATTTTTGAACTCTATAAAGAAAAGTAGATAGGTTCTCTGCATTGCTTATTTTACTTCAAGCGATGATTGTAATAAGCGAGAAAAAAAGTATCAACTATAATGTGTAAGCTAAAAATTAAGCACCTATGTCGTGTTGTAAAGGATTTGTAATAAATTGTTATTTTCTGAGCTGATTATTTTGTTCATATCTTGGGTTGAAATTTGTTTAAAATAAAACAAATGGCATTTAAAATGAAATTGTAAAACGTTGAGTGGGGAAAAAATAGAATTGGACAACGATTCGAAAATGATTGTTAATTGTTACTTTTGTCTCCATTAATTTTGATAAATCCATCTGTATATAAGCCTAAGATTGTGTCAGTGTCCAAGACTTTAACTTAATTTAGAAAATTGATAAATTTTTAAAATCTATTTGCCATCCACCCTCTCCAGAAGTGACGACATTTTAAATTTTGTTTTCAATATTTATTTGTCGGTGCTTAGTGGTAATATTCTTTTGGGAAAAGAATTAATATTTGAGTACATTGTTATTAAAGAAATAACCTTGCTATTAAAGAAAATCTTTAACTCCTTTTCTATTTGATTTGGTCTTTTGAAATGAAAAACATAAATTTATTTGAGATGACTAAGCCAAGCAATTGGTTTAATACATCGAATGAAGAAGCAAATCCTGTGTTTAAAAGAAAATCATATTTATATTGATTCCTTATTATTTGTACGAAAATGTTGATTTTGCAAGTTTTTCCCCCCTTCTTTCTTCAACTGTATTGTATATAATTGCAGCACTATAAATATGCATATCACTGCAAACTGATGAACAAGGGCATGGAATGAAATAAAATCAAGATTTCATTAAACGATTGTTTGTTCCCGATTTTGGTGTAGGTGTACTTGTTTGTGTATACTGTTATTCTTAACAACCTAAACCAGTGTTGGGATTGAGTTGTGAATTTCTTTAAAAGCAACCAATACATTTTCAGGACGACTAAATATCTTATAGTCTGAGTATCAGTCTGAGCAATAAGAGTTTTATGCGACCCCGCGCGCCACCCAATCGGAGTCGATTTTAGAAATTGTGACGTCATTTCGATCAGATATTTGGACTAAGCTGTTGATTGGTCAATTTGGCTGCCATGTTTTTGTAACACAACAACAGTTTACTGAAGACTTGTAGAAGGCACCCGCTGAATTGTCAGAATCTCAGGTAAAGACGCAGATTGGTTTTGCGTAATTAGTCGCGGAATCTGCTCGCATATCATACATACCCGGTCTGTGCAATAGCGATATTCCATAAACTAGGAGTTTGGGTACGTATTGCTGAACTGTTTTTAACATTAATACGAATAAGTTAAAAACAATCAATAAATGTAGACTGGTAGAGAAACACAACGAGAAAAACAAGTATACAGTTTGCGCTCAGTATGCAGCCATCTCGGGTGTTTTTGTTATTTTGGGTCATTGTATAAATTTGGGGTCCACTTTTTCCTGCCCATCTGACATCTGACATCTATGGTTTTATAACTGCGATGCAGTCATCGTTCAAGAGTGATTATAAATCAAACAACATACCCAATGAATACAAAAAAATAATGAGACCGGAAAAATGTCACACTTTGGACCCTAAATTTATAGAAAGACCCATTCCATTCTGTATCAATGAATGTACAATGAGGTCCACTAATGCAATGTCCCGCTTAACAAAAACACGAACCTCGAAGATATGGCTGTAATGTGAATCATCTATGCCAAATTCACCGTCGGAGTGTTTGGACTGTAAATGAAAGATGAACATATTCACCGCGGATGAATTTTGATATTCCTCCTCCGATGGCAACGCCGTCTCCTACGTCGTGCAAACCAGTCACGTAGGTCTTCTTGGAGATAAAGCCGAGTCATAGCTGAGAACTAAAGAACAAGAGAGGAACAAAGTTAAAACTTCAGAGGGCCCGTTACGTGAATTTTACTTGGGAACATATTTTGTTCAACGTTCCACTCCTCTTTTGTATGAAAACTATTTGACATCTCTTTTTGGTTAATCTTTTTGAAAAGTGCACTTCTTTAAACATTTCAAATTGTCTATGCTTTTACTGATTAATGAGGGCGCTGGCGTTAAGCTGTCCTTTCAGGAAGACAGTGTTCAGTTTAGGGGTTTTCTTTTCAAATTGTGAACCCAAAATTTGTTCATTGGAAACATTTGTGAGAAAATTTCGCCCACTGGTCTACTGCCATGTACTGAAACAACAACGAATCACAAGAGAAAAGGAAATTTACGACAGCAAAAGATCAAAAACTCTGGCAAATTTTGCTGCTGAAATAGCTTGTAACATTGCGGTTTCTGCCTGAAATGACATCACACATTTTGCTCATGAATATGCAAATTGTTATTTGCATAAAAACAAAAAAGGCACCAAAATGCCCTTTAAAATGGCAAAACGAAAATTGAAAAAAAAACTTAAGTGGGACACAGGTGCATTTTCAAGTCTTAAAGACAATAGACCTAAGAAATAATGACGTCACGCTTTCTATACATGTGCATGTTTTTATGAGAGCTGGGTGGATCTCATCCCACCTGGCTCCTATAGGAAACAAACCGTGACGTCACTGTGTCTCGGGGCTGGCTTTTTTCTGAGGGCTCTGGGGACTTGGAAATACAATATAGACTTTTTGAGCTTTGAAATAACTTTGGTCAAGCTTCTCGGTTGCCGTTAAAAAAAAATCAGTTTTACAGGGTTAATTTCACAAAATCGAACATATTTTTATACAAGAGGTATAGTCTGACTAGGTGTACCAAGTAGTCCTGGTTGTTGATATCGTGCACAAGTTCTAAGTAATCGACAATTATTCCTTGTCTATTGTCAACGTATGTTGCAAATGAGTTATGCCCGTGAGATGCGTGTACCTTCTTTTATTTCGAATGTATAGGTTTTCCCGGCCAATTTCCTGAAATGTTCATTCACTTCTGAATTTCGGCCATTCATTTTCGGCTGAATTTGAGAATCGCTCTGAACACGCGTTTCATTTTCGCTACCAGAGCATTTGATTCCATTTCAGATCAATCAATTAAGTGATTGAGCAGCACGTTTATGTCCATCCAGATTCGTTTACGAGACTTCTTGTTCGCTTTTAGAGGGCGATTTCAAACATTCAACATTCTATTTCACTTTTAGTTTAATGCCATCGGCGCCAGATACATGTCAATTAGGGGTTTCTTTTTCATTAACCGTCAATCTATTTGCTTGCGTAAATGAATGCACAGGTAACGTAATTGGCCGTCTGTTTCTCAAAACCGAGTGCACGGACAATGAAAACGATTGAACTTTCGTTGAATTGAAATGGATTAAAGACGCGCATTCAAATTCAGACGAATATGAATGACCGATTTTCAGCAGTGAATGAACATTTCAGGAAATTGACCGGGAAAACCTATATATCATTTTTGTTAATCACAACTATTGCTATTTTTGATACTTGAAGTTTCTCGTGGATTTGTTTCTCCCATGTTTTGCGTGGATTTTTTTTCTCGCAAGGGGTTGAGCCCTGGAATATAAGTGTACAGTGTTGGTCGGTAAAGGGCAAATACTAAGTTAAAATACAGAAAGACTATTCACGTCTTCTTCTGAATAAATTATTCGTGTCATAGGCGTAACTTATTCATGATTTGCCAGCCACCGTCCACCGTCGCGACGGGGTCAGCGCGCTCGCGTGTTGACACAACTCGGCGTATTTCGATTATTCCTTCCGCTCATAATTATCGTCGTTGATGGACTTTCTGATGCGGCCAAAATGTCGAATCGAAGTTGGTGCAGATTAATAATGACAAACGTTCAAGGGGCGCAATGCAGGTTAGGTTCAAGTGCAGGTTGTGGGGAAGTTGATCATGGCTACAATCCTGGCCAAATCTCGCTGGGCCTCCAACCCCCCGGCCCCCGTTCAATGTTGTCTCTCATTGCGCGGTGTGTGCTCCATCAGCTGGAGAGAACAACATTGACCGGGGGAGCAGGGGAGTGGGTGACCGTGGCAGGCTCAGGAAGTGTCCCAATCATTTTGGCCGGGATTGTAGCTTCATCGGGTCAATGTTGTCTCGGATCGCGCGAAGACTACCATTTAACATCGGTCATAGTCGTCATCACCCTATAAATTTGGGGTACACCTTTTCCCCCTTTTCCTGTTACATCATACATTACAATTTTGTAATTCAACACAGGGACAGTAAAACTGTCACATTTTGGACCCCAATATTATCGAATTACCCATTTCCAAAATGCTTGAGTTGTTCGGCGGGAACTATAATAGAATCACAGTCGGTACACGGCAGTTTGCGTGCGCGTTTTTTGTCTATAAGCATGTAATTCTGGTGATGAAATCAAGGATTCCTCAAAAGCAAGTTAGGCACTGTTGATTGAAACCCCGAAGAAACTTGTTGACAATTGCAAGTCAATAAAATGTTTACTCTTTTAGTCGGGGGTAAACGTTCTAGGAACCCTTACGGATTCGGGTATGACTGAAAACGCAATATACACACGTCAGCCTGGTCGGGATTGAACCCTGGTCGTAGGGGTGGAAGGGGAGGTGTTCTGACCCACTACTAACTAGCTTGGACGTGGAGTTCTAGGGATTTCAAAGGTTGCTGTGAAATGGCACTTGTTAAATAATCACGCAGTTACTGGAAACTGTTGTTGCCCTAATGATGTGAGGCGCATGAAGAAGTGCACGTATTAGCAACACATCTTCGTACTTTTCAACTGACCGTATATAATTACAGATGAAATCTGGAAAACCGTGAAAGTTGGGAGCAACTGTGTCGCTGCAAATCCTGCGTGCACCATCATTAAGTTGCCATGCCAACCGAGTCCGTGACCGTGTAATGAAGTGCACTATTTGAGGGAGTAAAGCTCTGCAAGTGCTGGAAACTTGACACTTAATTTCATTCCGTTCTTGCAACCATTCTATGGTCACTCTCGCAGGCCGTAAGACGACTTTTCAACCGAAATAATTGATTTACAGATGCTGAAGCTGCATGTGTATCTTCATCATATAATCAGCGGCCAGTCGAATACTTTGGCCACTAGTGTAGATCCATTTCGGCGAGTGGGGGGAGGGGGATGACCAAAAATACCCCGGCCGTGGAAATTCAAAAGCGAAGGGGAGGGGAGGGGGGGGGGGGCTTGACACCAGATGGCATCATGGGGCGCCGTATATGATACAAATAAACTTTATGCGCCTATCAATTGTTTAAGTTGAAGAAAAAAACTTGCAGAGAAAGGAAAATGAAAGACACGATGAAAACAAAATGACAATTGGTACTTGGTACTTGGTTGGTTCTTCTCCTAAATACTCCGCAGGGGAGTTTAAACAGGAGGCCAGAAACACCGGTGCAAACCCCTTCTCTTAGCGATAAGTGTTACTGGGTTCTTTTACGTGCATTGCATTACACAACACACAGGACCTACGGCTTTACGGCCCATCCGAAGGACGAAGCAATAATGGTTAAGTGCCTTGCTTAAGGGCACAAGTGTTCAGACCCGGTCTTCCTGATATAAATCCTTGGTTTACAATTATCTACAAACACTAGCAGAACTGACGTTAATGTATGTGTGTCTTTTTATAAATTTCGGGTCCAAATATTGACCCACAAGGCATTTGACCACTATTCAACGCCATGACTTGAGGAGGAAATTGTGGTCTCTTTTCTGTTCGCTATCATGCCTCGGGGGTTACAGGGCTTGGGAGTGGGCCGATAGCCCATCCTGTAATTATTAAGATAGCAACACAACTGTACATGTGAGTATTGAAGTCGAAGGCCGGGTTATTTAGAAACACCCATCATGCTTGAGGAACGTCAATGTTGATGCAGCTG